CTCCCCAGCTGAGCACTGATCCTTGCATGTGTTAGAGAAAACCCTCAGAGGCTGGGGAAACAGCCACCTAAAAGGAATAGAAGAAATCCATGGCTGATTCATGTCAATGTATGGCAAAAACCACTACAATACTGTAAAGTAATTAGCCTCCAACTAATAAAAATAAAGGAAAAAAAAAAGGAATAGAAGAGAGAGCTCAGAAATCATTTGGCATTGTTTGTTCTCCCAGTCAGGGAGGAAAACCTCATAATTTATGGGGCATCAATGGAGCAGAGAGGTTAGCTCTAGGAGTTAGACAAAATTAGCCTAGAATAAATGCTCTTATAGTTCCACCTCACAAAGACTGGCTAAAGAATTAGGATGTGGTATATTTCTCAATCCAGCATGAATCTGAGAATGACTGGATTTTGGATTGAGGTGGAAGACAGCACTTCGTAAACTGCATGACCAGTATTCAGTCAAGAGATCTTCTTGTGTCTCTGGAGGGCCAACGTGGTAGGAACTGACAACCTTGTGGGTTACTTCCAGTCCAAGTCTCCATTTATGGCTTCTGTCTCCTTTTGTGAAGATGGGATACAAATGGGACCACCTAAAGCACAACCGTGAAGACTCCCTCGTTGGCAGCTTCCCATATATCCTGCTTAAGCCTCAAGAGAATCCCAGGACGTTCCTCCTGGTGTTCAGTTTAGCTCTCTCTTGAGATGGCTCTATGTTGGGAATTTTCAACTTGTTTCTATCATTTCCTCAAAGAAGAGAAGAACAGAGGAAAGGAAACTGAGAAATGGATTTGCCATAAGGTTGAAGGAGCTGATGCCCCCCAATCAGAGGACATTTATTGTGAAGCTACTATGTACTATGCACTCTATTGGGTGCTTTCAGATATTTTTCAGGAGATTGTGCCTTTAAATTAGGCAAGTGATTTTAAATCACTTGTTTTCAATCTATTCTCAACAAGACTCTACAGAGGAGGTATGAAGTGGGAGTCGAATTGTTGACTTGTATTAGACAACTGTTCTAGAATTTACTGAGAAGTCTTTCTTTTATTTGTATCATTTGCTGATCTCTACCAACCTGGCCATAAACCAAGTCTTCATGAATGTGTGGTTCTGGATCTAGACTCTATTCTGTTCCACTGGTCTATTTTTCTACCCTTGTGCTAATGCCATGTCATCTTAAATACTGCATCTGATGAGGAGTCTTGATATATGATGAGGTAAAATTAAAAAAAAAATCAGAGTAAGCTATGATAATAAAACCCCACAAATTATCAGTGTCTATATATAATAAAGATTGATTTCTTGTGCATGCATCATGTCATCATGGGTAGACTGGAAATTGGGTCATGCCTCATCATCACTCAGAAAGAGGTTCCTGGAGCAGGCACTTTTGAGAACATTGTCCTTAATTACGATGGGGGAAGAAAGAATCTACCAAAATCATGCACTGGGTCTTAAAATTTTCACCCAGAGGTAACCACTCCTGCTCCTATTTCTTTGTCAAAAGCACATGGTGGTACTAAATTATAAGGGGTCAAGAGGGTACAATCTTGCCGAGAAAGAAAATAAAAATGCTTGGAAATCACATTGATGGCTACTGTGATCTTTTATTTTTACTTTCTTTTTCAGGAATGCTGGCTATTGTTAGTCTCTTGTCATCCGATTACATTTTAAAATCAGGCTGTAAACCAAAAAACCAACCAACAAACCAAGATTAAGAACTCAAACCAAAAAAATCCTATTGTGAATTTTCATTGAGATTGCATTGATTCTATAGATAAATTTGGGGAAAATAGACATGTTTACTATTGAGTCTTCCAAAACTTAAACATGGCATATTTATCCAATTATTTAGTTCTGTCTTAATACACATGAGGGATTCCCTGGTGGGCCAGACAGTAAAGAATCTGCCCGCAGTGTAGGAGACTGGAGTTCGATCCTTGGCTTGGGAAGACTCTCTGGAGAATGACAACCCACTCCAGTATTTTTGCCTGGAGAATTCCACGGACAGAGCCACCTGGTGGGCTGCAGTCCATGGGGTCACAAAGAGTTGGGCACGACTAACACTTTCACTAAAATACATGAATGGAGTTTTACCATTTTCTCCCTAAAAGAAACTTGCACATCTCTTTGTAAAATTGGTTTCTAGATATTTTATATTATTAGATACTAATATAATATAGTTTTGGTTGCATTTTCTAAGTATATGTATGAAAATGCTTCTCATTATATAATTTTTTCTCTAAAACTCCTAAACTTTTAGTTTTGATTTTTTTGTAGGTTCCTTTGAATTTTCTACATAGGCAATCATATTTATTTACAGATAAAATTTTCCCGCTTTTTCCCATCACTTGACTTTGCCCTTGCTGCCTTTCGACAGTAGCCAGGACATCTAAGATACCGTTGACTCCAGATGACTCCAGTAAGCACTCATGTCTTATTTCTTATATTAAAGGAAAGTGTTTGGTAATTGTGATATTTTAACATTTTAACATTTTTTGGTAGGAGTTTTTCATCAGGTAAGGATGTCCTCTTTATCATAAATGGATTTAGGATTTTACATGACTTTTTCCCCTATATCTTTTGTGGTCTGTAGTTTCTCTATAACATGTCATTGCAGATTTCTTGTTTATTCTTTTTAGGATTCTTTGGGTTTCTAGATTCTGTGGACTGGCATATTTATTTCTGGAAAATTTTCATTTATTATTAAGATGATTCTGTCTTCCCCTTTTCTGGAACCCTGATTAAATATAAACTAGACCATATAACACTAGCTTTCATATTTTTTAACCTCATTCATATTTTCCATACCTTTTTCTTTTGATGCTGAATTATCATTAATTTCTTCACTATTTTCTTTAAGTTCATGAATTCTCGTATCTGCAGTTATGCTGGTCCTCTAATTTTAAAATTTCATTTACTATAGTTTACACTTATATAGAATAGAAGTTCTATTTGTTTCAATAGAAATAGAAGTTCTATGTATTTTTTTTTTTTACAATACACTTGGTCACTTTTTATACCCCATTGCTCTCTCTTCTATTTTCAATCCCTTCTCTTTATCTCCTTAAACATTATAGACATAGATTTGGAAATCAATTTAAACATTCCAATATCAGAGGATATTTTGAATTTTGCTGTTTTCTTTTTTGTACTGCTCTTGCTCAGAATGCTATGATTCCTGTTTTTTTTTTTCAAACTGGGAGTTAATAGTTATTGTAACTTAATCTGTGGGAATTTCTCTGGACTCTCCACTCAGCCCTTACTTAAAACGGGAATTTTTCTTATGGTTCTCAGAGTTATTTTTACTATATAATCTTATTTACTTACTTATTTTTGGCTGCACTGAGTAGTTTTTGCTGCTCGGGCTTCTCTCTACTTGCGACGAGTGGGGGCTACTCTTGGCCGGGGTGTGCAGGCTTCTCACTGCGGTGGCTTGTCTGGGGGGGCACAGGCTCCGGGCGCTCGGGACTCAGTAGTTGCCGCGCGTGGACTCAGTAGCTCCTGAGCTCTAGGGCACAGGCTCAGCAGTTGTGCGATGGGCTTAGTTATCTTTCTGCATAAGGTATCAAACCTGCATAATCCTTTGGGGGTCTCAGTTTCATTGAGGTTGTCTAGTATCCTTAATATGGCAGGCTATGGAATTTGTTGATAGTCCCCAAGCCACTAAAAGTGAAAACAGAATTTAAGTTCACCATATTCTGCTAATTTCCTCAAAAAGAAAGCTGGTTCAAAGTGCTCTGTATCACCTTGGTTCATGCCTTCACTTAATTTTCGGTCTAATGGTCTTTATCTTTTAATCAGTTAATTCATATATTTAAAAAAGTGTCTCTCAGACATCATCCAGCATTTTGTGTTCAGTGTAAGGGTCAGTCAGTGTACCAGTCTGCTATCATGCCAGGAATGAAAGATCTTTTTAATTATTACCATTAATAAAACTGATACTTTGTTTTTTCCTTCCAAGAATTCAGTTATGTGTATATTAGACCATTTGATAACAAATTACATGTATATTAGGCCATGTACATATTAGATCACACTCTGGGGTGATTCATTCTGGTGTTTGTTTTCCTTCACTTTTCCTTCTCTTCATGTTTTAGTTTGGATAGTTTTTATTGACCTATTGTCAAGGTCGTTGATTCTTTCCTCAGCCTATCCAGTCTGCTGATGAGCCCCAAAAGGAAATTACCCATCTCTGATGTTGTATATTTTATTTTAGTATTTGCATTTGATGCTGTTTTATAGTTTTCATCTTTCTGTTGAAATTCTCCTTCTGTTCATGTATATAGTCCCATTTTCCTACTAGATTTTAACATATTAACCATAGTTATGCTAAAGTTGCTCTCTGATATTTACAACATCTGGAAATATGATGCTGCTTTGTCTGGTTTTCTTAATTGCTTAAACTCTTGACAATGAGTTAAACTCTTTTCTTGTATTTTGGGGTGTGTCTTGTAATTTTTTAAATTGAATACTGGACACTGTGTGTGAAAGAATAGTAGAGATTATTCTCAGACTAGATGAGGATAAGTGTTTTGCTCTGTGAATATTATTTAGCTTCTATGAGCCCCAATATTTTTTTCTTTTTGACCTTGCTGCACAGCATGTGGGATCTTAGTTCCCTGACCAGGGATTGAACCCCTACACTCTGCAGTGGAAGCACAGAATCTTCCCCCATTAGCCTCAGTTTTCTTATCAGCAAAATATGAATAAGCCCCAACTTCATAGATAAATTATATGAAATATATAAAACATAAATATAAAATAGTATTATCATTTGCTCATGGTAGATCTTTAATAAGGAAATTGGATTTTACATACTTGATTTTTTCCTCAAGTGGTGACATTTTTTTCTATTAATTAAAAAATTTCATACCTCATTAAAAAATTCTAATAACATCAAAGTGCATAAATTAGAAAGTCAGATGCCTGCATATGTTCAATTAAGACCATACTACAATTGTGTGTTCCTCTACCTTTCAATGAATAACTTAGAACAAAAAATTGGTGTCACTATATTTGATTTAATGTTCATAAATACATGCATAAAAGCCAGAGGTCTTCCAAAGCTTTATCCAGTATTTACTTCTGAAGTAGAAACAATATTTTTAGTAAGTGGTATAAAGAAATGCCCCCACTGGGATCTCTACCATATTTTGATTTTATGTGGGGGTGGGATTTGATTTGATTCTATGTGGGATCATTCTTTACACTAGGAAAACAGAATTTGGAAAGTATCAGGAAAGATAATAGCAGAAAGTATGCAAAGTGTTGCGCTTTGTAAATGATCAATAAGTTGTTGGGTGAAGAGGGGCTTCCTAAAGCTGCAGACCCAGGATTCCTGGCCAGAAAGGACAAAAGTGCCCTCTCTCTTGTTCTTGCTAAGACCTCGGCAGCATTTCTTCCAAGTCTGCAATGACATAAGAGACAACGGTCCAAACAGCAGCAGCAAGATTCATCTGCTTTGGATCCATGACGGTCATGGTGTCTCCATGGGAGTGATGGAAGGAGAAATATTTATACAGGTCATCAAGTAGACTGGCTCCTGGGGAGAAAAGAGGAAGAACTCTTAATGAAGTATTTTGACAGACGTTGCTGAATAGCTGTTTAGATACTATTGGCCATCTTCCTTGCTCTTATTAGACAGGCTGTGATGGCAAAAAAAATGACATTCCCAGCCTCCCTTGCAGCAGGAAATGGCTGTATGCCATCGTTCTGACGACTGTGATATGAGTGGCAGGCGTGGGAGAGTTCTAGGAAAGCCTTAACTTGGTTGACAAGAGTCAGGAAATGCTCTCGTGCTGAATTAAAAGAGATGAGAAGACTGGCACTGCAAGGGGCAAAAAGTCTCCGCACTAAAAATGGCGAGGTGGAAACACAGAAAGCGACTGGGTTTAGAAAGTACTGCAAGCCCGCTGAGTAAGCGCTACACTGCCTAATTCTGAACTTCCTGCCATGGGAAGGAAAATAAGTTTTATTTGAAAAGCAAGTGATACAAATGTCCCCTCTATTTATAAGAGGACTATATGTGTATTTTTTTTTTTTGGTATCAGCAGAGTGCAAATTATGTACATCCCTGGATACAAAAGAAAGTCAGTACTCCTTTGCTCGAGATTTTTTTTCTCAAGTCATTCAGTCACTTCCCATGAAATTTCCCAGCAAGTCCCACCAACAGGAGTCTCCACCACCCTTAAGAACTTTCTTCTTACTCTAGTGAGGTCTTTTTCTAGTTTGGTCATGGATCAAAGCCTCAGGGAATGGTGGCTCAGCTGGTAAAGAATCTGCCTACAATGCAGGAGACATGGGTTTGATCCCTGGGTTGGGAAGATCCCCTCTAGAAGGGAAAGGCTACCCACTCCAGTACTCTGGCCTGGAGAATTCCATGGACTGTACAGTCCATGGGGTCACAAAAAGTCGGACACGGCTGAGCGACTTTCACTTTCTCACTCTAGTGAGGCTTTCATCTAGTTTAGTTATGGATCAGAGCCTCAGGGAATCTTCATACCTCCTAGTCATCCTTCAGAATCTACTGGGCCCACTCTGGGTTCTTTTGCCTCAGGCCTAATTATTTATTTACTTACCATTTTATTAAGATATATACCATACATACATAAGATTGTAGAGAACAAAAATATATATTATAAAGGGTGACAATATAAAAGTTCACATATGCCCATGATTCAATGCAAGAAAGGCATCACCAGTACCTTTAAAACCCATTTTATGAGCTCCTTCTCACAACCCCATGGATCCTTCCTCTCTCCAGAGGGACCCACTATCCTGTTCTGCTTGTGTGTTAGCCACTCCTTGCTTTTCTTCATAGTTTTTCGAAATAAATATAATCAACACTCTCCAGGCTGTAAATGTAGGGGTGGAATTGTTGAGCTATAGAGCATGCGTATGTTTAATTTCATCATGTATATTCAAAATGTATTGCTTTTTGGTTTATCCTCCCATTGTTAGTATATGAGTCTTCGTCTCGCTTCACATCTTCTTTAGCACTCAGTGTTGTTAAGCTAGTTTTTGCTGATCTAGTGGATGTGAAATGTGAAAGATTATCTCATATGATTTTAATTTTTAAAATTATTAATGAGAATATGTTTTCATATATGTATTTTTTGTCATTTCTTTTCCATGAAATGCCTGTTCATGCTCCTTGCCTATTTTCAATTGATTTGCCTTTTCTTATTGATTTGCAGGAGTTCTTGATATATTTTAGAAACTAACCTTTTGTTGGTGGTCAGTTTATATAAATCATTTCCCAGCTTATGACTCTTTTCATTCTGTTTAGCATGCATTTAGATGAATAGATGTTCTTACTCAATGCAGCTGAATTTATGCACACTTTCCTTTATGATTTTTACTTTTCTCTGTTGTTTAAGAAATCCGTCCTTACCTTTATATCACAAAAATAGTTCCTAGGGTCCTAGTCTAAAACTTTTAAAGTTTTGGTTTTCATTTTAAAATTCTTCAGCCACTTAGAACCAGAATTGATTTTGCTGTAGGGTAGGCTTCTATTTTTATTTTTCAGTGTTCCAGAAAAATTTGACTGGTCCATCCTTTTTCTCTACTCTTTATGTCTGCAGCATCTATAGGGAGTGCTCCTTTTCACTCCTGATACTGGTTATTGAAGTCTTCTCTCTCTTTTTGTTCACTAATCTCGCCAGCAGTTTGTAGGTTCTATTATTCTTAAAAATAAATAAATAAATAGAGAGATAATTTTGGGGGGATAATATTTTCTAATGTGTAGTAGTTTTCCTTCATTGATTTTTACTCATACTTATTTCCCTTCTTATTCTTTGTTTGGGTTGATTCACTTTTTTTTTCTTTTTTAAACTTTTTGAGTTGAATGCTCAGTTTATTCCTTTGTACACTTGCCTTCTGGAGGCTCAGTGGTAAAGAACCCGCCTCCCAGTGAAGGAGAGGCAGGTTTGATCCCAGGGTCAGGAAGATCCCCTGCAGAAGGAGATGGCAACCCATTTCAGTTGGGAAATTATTAATTGCCTGGAAAATCCCATGGATCGAGGAGCCGGGTAGGCTACAGTCCATGGGGTCACAGAAGAGTTGGACACGACTGAGCGACTAAACAACAACACTTTGCTTACATAAGCAGTAAGGCTACAGTCTTCCCCCTGCTACTGTTTCATTCTCTATATCCCATCAGTTGTGATGAGTATTTTCATGATCACTTAGTTCTAAATATTTACTAATTCTTAGTTTGATTTTTTTCTTTGATGCACGAGTTAGTGTGTGTTTTTTTTTTTCCATTTATTTTTATTAGTTGGAGGCTAATTACTTTACATCATTGCAGTGGTTTTTGTCATACATTGAAATGAATTAGCCATGGATTTACATGTATTCCCCATCCCGGTCCCCCCTCCCACCTCCCTCTCCCCTCGATCCCTCTGGGTCTGTTTTTTTAATTTTCAAAGGTACAGGGTTTCCTTAGTTATTTTTTCATTACTGATTTCCAATGTAACCGTTAGAGAATGTGGGCTATATGATACAAATTCTTCAAGTTTTGCTGAGATTTTTCTCCCTGGCATATTGGATGATCCATTTTATAAATGTTGCATGTGTCGAAAAGAAAGTGCTTTCAGTGTACTGTGTATGCAAGCATTAAAACAAGTTTGTTAATTGTATTCTTCAAATCTTTTAACGCCTTATTGATTTATTGTCTCAGCAATTTTGAGAGAAATGTGAGAAAATGACCTATGATTTTGGATCTCTTTTTTGTAATTCTAACAATGTTTTTTTTTTTTTTTAATGTATTTGAAGGTTATGCTTGTAGGAGCACACAAACTTGGAATCACATCTTTCTGGTATTAATAAATTGAACATCTTTATTAAAATGTGGTCATCCTTGCCATTTGTAGTAATGCTTTTTGTCTTGAAGTCTAGTTTTCCTAGTATTTAATAACAACCTCCTTTCCTTACCTCATTCTTCATGTGTCTTTTCCCATCAATTTATTTGCAGTCTGCCTCTATCCTTATATTTTTAGGGAATTCTCTTATGAATAAAGTTCAATTTTAAAAACTAATCTAACAATCTTTGGGTCTTAACTGGAGGTTATAATTCATTAATATAGATTCTGATTATTGTTAAATTGGACTCATTTATACCATCTCAATTTTTGCTTTCTATTTGTTTATTTGCTTTCTGTTATTTTCTTCCTTTTCTTTCTTGCTCTCCTTGTGTAGATTTTTTTTTCCTCCTATTATTCCTCTGCCACCTCCCCAGCTCTTCTTGTTTGGAAGTCACACACTTTATATCAGTTCTCTCACTGGAGATCTCAAATGATTGATCTCTCAATAGCTGACATATTTATATAAAGTTAATCAATAAAGGACACTAGGATCCTAAGTTTTGTCTCCTGTCCCAGATGCATTCACTTCTCTTTAAAATCCATGCTCTAGGCCAACAAGGATGGGCAAAGATACCCTCAGACAAAGGCTCTGGAATTTTCTTACTTCTTACGAATTCTCACTTCATCATTTTTCACCTCTGAGGAATTTCCTTACTTTGCCTTACTAAGCCATGTATTATAGAAAGACAGTCATTGTTTTACCCAACAATTATTTTTTGAGGGGGTGGGGGTGGCTTGATGTGTATGGGAGCTTCTGGTCTACCACATTGCAGCGTTCTCTTCTCCCATTTCTCTACTTCCTGGTCTGTGCAGTGGAAAGTCTCATTGTTCCTGAGCCCTCTATTGCCTCAGAATGCTGTCCAGGTTTTCCTTCCACCAACCCAAGTTTTAAAAACTTTGTACCAAGGTTTTCCTGTACTTATCTTCCCAAACTCCTTGCTCTGGAGTAAGATATGAATTTCTCTCTATTCATTCATATTTCACCCTGAGTTCAACTATGGTGCTATCAAATATAACACAAGCCACTGAAGCAAAGTAAATACACAAAAGAAAGCTCAGCTCTCAACTCTGACAATTAAAGATTCCAATATCTGTCGGCAAATATCCAAAACAGTGTGTATGAAGCTGATAACACCTATCGAACCCTTCACCTGTGTTGAGGAGGCTTCTTCCTGTTCAGTGATTTTTTCTTTCTAAACTAGTAAAACATGTTTTCTGTTTCCCAAATAGCTCTGAAAGGGTGAGGTCTCACCATTATCCAGCCTAATGATGTACAACCTTCAGTGGGTGGGCTGGAGCTGAGGTTCATAAGTGTCCAGAAGGTTCTATCCAATTCAACTGGACAAATAATTGAGTACCTACAACATTCTAGCAGTGGGCTAAGATATAAAGGTGAAAAAGACAGCTTCTGCTCTCAAAAGCTTATTCTGTAGTAGAGGCAGCAAAAATGTGCCCACAAGTAATAGTAACACAATCAGAATGTACTGAATGCTGTGGGGAAAGGACAAAAAACAGTGGCTACCTCAAGTAGTTGAATGACCTTTTCTGAGCCCTATGTTAAGTCCCGTTGCTGTGTGTGCTCCATACTTCTTCTATCGGAATCTTCACCATTCTTTCTTACAATTGCCTGTTTCATGTTTGTTTTCTCCACTATATTGTAAGTTCTCTGAAGGCAAGG